AGAGAGAGAGAGAGAGGGAGACATAGATGTCTCTAATGCTTCCCTGAGCACAGTATATATTACAACAGGTGTATGACTCCGGCAAGGCAATGCATTGCATTATTAGTTTTACAGGGTGTATAAGAGGGAAAATACCTCGGAATTGGTGTAAACAGATGTCTGTCGCTTGTGCGGGCAGTGACGGTGCAGCTGAGTTTTCCAGTAGCCTGACAATGGATGCCGCAACTGCTATCAAGAGCCTACTTCCCCCCACCCCGTGCGTCCTGCCTGGTGGATGGCATCGAGGGTGCACGGCATGGGCAGCTTGAAATGCTCGCTCAAACCGGCGTCTTTACGTGCAGAGGCGATGGCCTCCCCACAACGACGTGAGGGCTTTCGGGCTTTTCCGGGTCTAGTGTGAGGTTTAAGGGTGAAGGGTTCACTGATTGAGGCCGGGCACAAAGTGCGAAGCTTTGCCTCGGGACCCTATAAGGTCAAGGTTTGTGGCTTTCTGTGGACTTGTGTTTTGCATTTAAGGTTTGGAATGTAGGGTTTGCTGATGTTTGGGGAAAAGCCCCGCCTTCTTGGTTGCTCCAAGAACACTGTATGCCAGCCTCAGGGCACCGCGGGCAGATTTTCCTCTTAGGGGTTGGGCTTTCGAATTATGCTACGAAGCCAACTTGGAACACCCACAGATGCAGACAGGTGACATAAATGGTGGCTCGCCAATCGCTTTGGAGCCCAGCACTCCCTTTGGGAAGGGATTGTCGCGCAGAAGCTCCACCCGGAATCTGGGCTTGCAGTTAAGGTCAAGCTGCAAGAGGTTCACTCCAAGGCGGCTCCATTGCAGGGCTCTGGCAAGCTTAAGGATTTAAGCTCAGGATCAAGGACCCATGACTGCCAGAGGAAAGGGAGCTACACCCCGAGAAACACGACTTTAGAAGCTAAGGCACTAACAATAGAAACTCTACTATGTTGGGGTTTAGACTGTCGGGTAGGGCCACTTAACATTCCGAAGCTCCCATATCTTTGTCGAGAAAGCACTGAGTTCTAGTCGAAGATTCAAGCTGAAAGGAGACTTTCAAGCAACACTTCCAGCCAAGAGGCTCCGTGGGCACTTCGGCGGCCATTGGTGGCTTGTAAGCCCAAACACCCTGAGAACGCTCCACTCCACGCGTGTCTCGGAGAGGTTCTTCGTACATGTAATAGCCGATTCCTGGCTGCAGGGCATCATTGCAACTCCTCGAGACGCTACCTGTTCAGCTGCGTCATACCTGCAATCCGAGCCACCCCAGACGAAAGCACCTTCCAGCTGGCCGATGTCGATGCCGGGATTAATCGACTGGCCTACGTCATACAGGATGTCCGAGCGAAGGGTCCTTAACAGAGGCCGAACTTCAACGGTTGAGACAGTCAGAAAGAGGCTCTCCTGACTTCGCCGGTCAGAACATCCAGCTCCACTTCTGAAATTCCTGAACAAAGGCAGGGAGAAAAACTGGACTCATCAGGCCCTGGAGCTCGAGGCATGTGGAGTGTGGTTGGGGGTGCCTGCTCCGTAAGTGAAATAATCTCCGTGATGCTGCCCCAGCGTATTTCCCTCCACATCAGTGGTGTACCTGCCGGATAGGGACATGGCTCACACTGTGCTCTGGCCGTCTTGGGGTGGCAACTTTCTGTCCCCCTCTCTCTCTTCACCACTCAGCAGGGCGTGCAGTTCTCTTCTAGTGGGCTGTTGACCATCAGCAACTCTCAGGCCTATCTCTCGCAATCTTTGCTGCTCTGGCTTTCCCTGCAGCCAGGCAGCTTGTTGCCAGTTGGCGCAAAGATTCCTCAACAAAAAACGACAAGCACGCAGCAATCGCAACAAATATACCGAAACAAATTAAACATGACACGACCATGTTGACAAAGATTGGTCCAACCATGGTATCCCGAGCCGCCCGCCTGTCGCTGAGAGCTTCTCCTGATGACCCAGAACTGTATTGGCTGCCGCGACCAGTTCTGGCCACGACGGATCCTCCGTGGCGTTTAAAGGATTTTGCCGGGTCCAACTTGGAATATCATTCAAGAGAGCCACCTTAGTCTTAGATTCTTTGCTCAAAGGGACCCAGGCCCTCAACCCTAAGCGTCAAGCCTTCAAACCGCCGCTGCTGCCCGTAATTAGAGAAAGATGTCGCAACTAGACGAGCGATCGGATTCTTAGGTAGCCTTAATCCATCTCCTGAAACTGAAAACCCACTCAGCATGCAGATCGTCGCCGTAATCAGCATCATCACTGTGAATTACCTTGACGCGCTTTCATCACCGCCCAGCACCGTCACTCATAGCCTCCACTCAACACCACAACCGGCACCAGCACCGGCACTAGCACTAGCACCAGCACCAGCCTCGTCCCGAGACCCAGCCATCATTGTCATCATCATCATCATCGTCGTCATCATCAGCAGCATCACCATCATGACTAGACTAGCAGCCGCATCACCATCGTCATCTTCTTCGCCCAATGCCATCCACGAATCCACGACCATGGTCAGCATTTTGAGAGAAAGTGCACCGGAAGAACTTTATCTGCACCACGCGTTCACTGAATACATATGTGCCCCACTCACCTCGAGAATCGAGAGCTACCATTGAACATCGAAACGGTCCTTACTGGCCCTTCTGTGCAAGCAACATTCACCACTTCCGGTTGGGATTGATCTTATCCTGCCGCACGCAGCTGACAGTGCACCTGTCGTCTCATTACCTATTGGTGGCGTCGTCTGCATCACCGCATCTTTTGCTAAAATTTCTCTGACGGCTCAGACTACAATTCCGATCGGTCTGGGTACTGGTTCAGTGTTTAGTGGTGAAGTCGAAACATGGACCAAGTCTTCCTGCGACTACAGTTCTGAGCATCATCGGTTATTCTCATTACTCGTAAACCAATTACTGTATGTCTATCAGCCGGCAATACGGGGCTCCTTGCCATCCCGCTTCTTTAGGAACTCCTTGTGGGGCTTGAGAGTCTGCAAGAGCTGCTTGCAGGCCTTGAAGAGAGGTCCATCACTCTGGCAGTCGACTTTATATTGATTCCTCTATCAGAAGTAGCACGCGAATGCGCATACATCTCATCCTTGTCACCTGGGAGCCATCTCTGGGCTTAAGCCTCAGGCCCTTGCCTGTCTTGCAGCCTCGCACACCACTTCCGTGGTGATGGATCCACCCGTAAAGCGTGCGTTTGGAACAACCTTGCCGTGGGCTTAGTGCTTAGGGCCCTAGCGAAGGGACAGGGGTCTGGGGTTTCCAGATCCGTGGCATAAGAGCTTGGACATCCTGCCAGTCCCAGACACCATCATTTGCCAGGAACATCGGAGCCAACAGTCAGTTGTATGGGGGCAGCAAAGAAAGCTCATCATCGCTCATGCAAATGCAGTACAGGCTAACAGAACACCTCGGTGTTGGTGTCGGCGACGCGCACATGGTCGAGTGGACATCCAAGCGAAACCGCAACCACCTGTGCCACCTTCGTGTGAATTCCTGCAAGCATTCGCGCTCTAAGACCAGAGTTCTGCGGAATATGGCGGGTTGGGGTCTAAGGACTCAGATGAATTGACATACAGTTCTCTCCGTCCTTGTCCGATCTCGCAGCCACCGTGATGAACTGTGACGGACCCATCAGAGCCTCGAGTTTGGCAACGGTCGCTTTAGCCGAGTTCCTGTGCCCGAGCGTGTGTGGTACTGGCAGCAATGGCAACACCGCCACGCAACAATGCCGCCCTAAACGATACTGGCATGCGTCACCAGTAGTGAACATGCTTGATCAAAACAATTCAACAAACGACTGGAGCCAGCCAGTCGAAGCCGTAAGTAGGGAGCAAGACTATAAGCCTGTTTAACCCGCTTTCCTCCAAACTGTCCAAACCCTCTAAGCTTTGAACCTCGGACCTTGAACACTGCAGCCCCGTTGAGGCCAGGAGCCGTGGATGTTGACCAGTGCCCCTGTCCCTGCTGCGTAGGCATAGCAGTGGCCGTAGGCCAGTGGCACGGCACCTAGCCCGGCAATGTCGGATCGCACCAAAGGCAGAAAGGGATGGTTGGTGCTGCTGCTGTGCTGAACGTCTTTCGTTGAAAGTCAGTGATGCCTGGCAACATTCATAAGATGCTTACGGCTGTTACTGGTGCTTACCTATCTTACTGGTTCAGAGGCTCAGTACAAGTATGAGTAGCAACGTGTAGTAACTACTACGAAGAGTCGTTGAAGCGAAACACTCGCACTGCAGATGAAATCTGCATGCAAGTCTGAGGCCATCGACATGAAGCAGTGACAGTAACTAACAGTTGCAGTGGCTCATGTGAAGCGCCAGCGAGATCATGATACGTGTACACATGCTAATGCTAACAAGAAGAACTGTAATTGGAAAACGATACGGACAAACGGAACGAGCATGATTGTGATAAGAACTGATGTGTGAGGGCAAACGGGGCCAACGATCTAACCAGAAAAAACAGCGCCCCTTGTTAGCATGTCATGACCTACAAGTAGTTTAGAGTTTGGGGAGTAAGGGTTTAGGGATGCCAGATTTCGATTCAGACGCAGTCACTGATGGCGCGTTTCCGCCAACGGTTGGTCTTGTTGAACTCTTCGCAAGACTTCGCCCGTTCCTCGTACTTCGCGTCCTGTGGGCACCGTAGAGAACATCCAAAACGATCAATGCTCCTCAGTGCCCTGCAACACGACGTGTACTGATTAGTGCGTGGGAAAGCTTGCGCCACTGGGCGGCATTGGCACTCCCACAAATGACAAAGGCCTTCAGAGCTGAAAACTAAATTTAAACCTATGCAAACGTGGGCTCACTTCAGCTTCGAGAAGCGATCTCTCAAGCGCCTGTGTCAGCCTGTGTCAGCTCTGGAAACATGAGACAAGAAGGCGCCGATAAGTATATAAATACGCATAGTGCGTACAGGCGGGCTTCTATGCTCGTATTGTGGGAGGCTCCCTGGTACTCTCTAGTTCCAAGGTATTTCTGGATCATTGCCCGAAAAGCATCTATCCGTTTTAGTGCCCTGGTGGTCATGACACAACCCTTAAGCCCGAACATCTCCTAAAAGCTCGAGCCCATTAGGCCTAAACTCTAAACCCAACACCGTAAATATGCCTGCTTCAGCTTGTTCCAGAGGGTGTCGACCTCTGCATTGCGACATGACTGTTATCAGGGCTTTCGAGTTCTTGAATTTGGACCGGATGTTGGTTTACGGGCATAGGGCACACGGATTTGGGCTTCAAGCATTCGGGCTTTCGGTCGGATGCAATTCACATCCGAAGAGGCTGACATGCAGGTTCCTCACAGGCACCCAGCCAGCTTGGGGGTCAGGGCATGCGTAAGACTCGAAGCCCTTACCCCGACAGACAAGGCACGACCCCAGGAGGCCGTAAGAACCCCTTCAACTGAGCCGCCACATCAGTGCAGACGTTGGTCCACCAAATCATCATAAAGAGACCCCGGACCCTGTGCGGCCCTACGACACCTCGGAACTGAGGCAGCGTCATTGTAGAACTCCATTGGTTGGCCCCAGGGTGTCACAGCGTTCTGCTTGGTGCACATATTGATCTCTCGGATTTCCTCCGGCACTTTGCCCAGCCTGTGTCAACTACAGCCAGTCTCCAGTGAAAGAAGAAGAACAAAAGACAGCAGCATTGACAGTGGCAACAATTGGACTAGAACAATAACATTGAGCCATTTAGAACCGCAGTCTCATTCTCCAACTTAGCCGGTCAGGTCGGGCCGGGTCGCTAAACACCCTTACATCCAACCGACATCATCTGACCGTATCAGGGCTGGGTTTGAACACAAGCATGATTGCATTGCGATGGACCATAGAACACAAGCATGATTGAAATAAACTGTAGCTATGGGTTTGGGGTTTCTGGCTCACCTATTTCATTTGAAACAGGCTCGTTCGGGCGCTTTGAGCCTATGGATGGGAGATGATGAGTTCAGCGCCGTGACCACAAAACCGAGTCTAGTTTTTGGGCTGTTTCTGCTCTTTGAAAAGAATCTAAGAAGGCCAGCGAAGGCGGGAATCACGGAAACAAACCTACATATTGAAGCAGGCTCGTTTCGTGCGGCAGGGAGGAAGGGGAGCAGCAAAACAAACTGCTTGCCAGCCCCAGGGCGGATTACGAACATTACTGGTTCGCAACTTGTTTGATTTCAGCTCAGGTTGGGTCGTTAAAATCAGCTATTCTCGGGTGACCGCGGGTGACCTCGCAAACAAAAAAATCAAAAAACACAATGGCAGCAGTGCTAGTCATGAGTCATGACATGCTGGCAGCAACGTGTTAAGTTGAGCCACCAACACCAGCAAACCAAGCCCAGATTTTATGGCACTCTGTCTGCCTGCCCGCGATGTCTTCCATGATTGCTTCGCAGACGAAATATCCTAGGTGGCAGCGGTGTTCCACATTGGAGTGTTACATGTCGGGTATTTTGTCTGCGGTAGCAATGCCTTCCGATAAAGATGTTTAAAATCCGTTTCAACGGCCATCACATAGTCAACCCTTAGGTGAACCAGCGAAGAATGGAGTGGCAGGGCCCCAAGCTGCCACTCACGGTCATTCAGGCTGCAGGCCACATGGCCACCATCGTCGTCACCGTGGTCATTGCCACCATCGGCAGAACCGCTATGAAGATCATCGTACAGCATCGTCATCATCATCCCACCTTGACTGTCAAGGATCCTTGCGGACTTCCAAAGGAGCGGACGGCCGTGTTGCTCGGGGTGTTGGTCTTCATCGCCTCAGCAAGGCTCCAGAAAGTGGTGCAGTTGGTTGGCGGCACCCGGCTGTCGTTCGGAGATGTTCGGAGGCGCGAACTCACTTGAGGTCTCGGACTTCGTAGAGATTGGCTTTTCACAGAACTGCGGGCCAAGGAGCATGAACGTTGACTCGCATGTTGGGCCAGTCGTAAACAGAGGGTATCGCTTCCCCCATCTCCAGATTCAAAAAGCCCGTGAAGTCATGAGTGCATCCGCCATTGCACCACGACTCGATGTCGCACCTTGGAGGCTGAGGTCTATAGATGTCTCGATCCTGCTTGGCAGTAAAGGGTGTCTCCATATCCATGCAGCACTTGAAGTCTGAGAGTGGCCCTGGGCCCTGAACTCTCTACCCCATCCATCCCACGAAAACACCCCAAACACACCGAGCCGCGCTTGGATTCTGCCATCCTTGTTGACGCCAACCTGCCCATTGCAAGCAAACCGTCTGCTGGCAATGAGAGGCGCTCGGTCCGGGGGTTTTGTTCAAGATATGTCGCTTGCAGCTCTTCTTCGGTGTCTTTGTGATGTTGTAAAGTGTCTCTTCAGAGACGTTCGGGTGGTTGCCAGCGTTGTCTCGGTATATGTCGTGTCGTACGGCTTCTTATAAGGCTTTGCTTGGGGGCTGGACTCAACTCGCAGCCGTCACTTCTGAAGAAATCTAAGAGCCATCTGCAGCCATGCAGGGAAGATCATCATTCCCGACATCGTCATACTCATACCCAGACGTAGTCATACTGGGCAAGATGGGTAATGATAATCATGATACCGTCCTCGATGATGATCATTTATATTCAAAACCAGCAAACTCACAGTAGTCGCGACACAGCGGTAGTGGACATCTTTTCGCCTTGTACTGGGTCTTGAAACTATGCCGTCCGCCAACGGCATTCTGCTCCAGTGTTGCTTCGTAGGCCACACGCACAGCTTTCTCCAACCTGCAGCAAATGCCATCCGGTCTAGTCCTTTTCGACCACATGGTTTAAGTCTACGATCTCATGTTTGCATAACCGTCGGTATGCGTGGCGGCCTTAACCCTGCTCGAATCGCCCGCGAGCCACCCACCTTCGACTTCCAAGGCTCCAAAACATTGGCCCTCACTCAGGCAACCATTGACCCAAACGCTGCCACACACAACAACCGCCCTGAAACCCCCACCCTGGACCAAAGCGCCCAGGAGCTTGTGGGCAGCAACGGCGGCCATTGCGGCGACCGGCGCTTGTCGACTGTTCTTGGGGCCAAAGGCGCCTAGGCCAGGTTCAGGCTTCAATTGCTTGCGGGTGCAAGACTAAGGAACACGCCTTTCGCGAGTTTACGGCTTTTTACGGCCCTCTCAGACTTTCGACATGCTTTCAGGGCTTTGGGTCCGAAGGCGCCGCCGGCGCGAGTCTGCTTGCAGACGACGAAGGATCCGGGGATGCCCAAAACGCCGGCCAGCCTCGCTTGGAAGCTGAGTAGAGCACAGGGGCTTGGGCGAAGGTCCGGACATCCGACTCCGTGTGCAACGGATCACGTATCAAAGTGCAGAGTTTGAGGTTCTTAGTGCTTCAAGTTGCTGAACCCCCCACTGCACGGATCTTAACTGAGAGCTTGTGCCAAATTTCTGCAAAGCTGCACTCCCCTGGTGAAGTCATGGCCTTGCGTGGAATGCCAGACCTTGCAAGAAGATGCAAGACAGGAGCCTCCTCAAGGCACTGGTCGGAGGGTTTGGGTTAACTCAAAGAGTAGCCAGGCCACAGTCATACCCTTCTTTTCCTCGGGTACGGCCAAGGCCGTCTGCTTCTCCATCGGGAAAGCATGCTGGCCGATGACGTAGGTGGACCCCTCAAAGACCTCGCTTCCCCCGGCCGAGACTTTCTGGCGGGTCTAGGCCCGAGCCCAGGGGCCCGGCCAGATCGCTGCTCGAATAGCCGGCTTCCAAATCTCCTTTGTTAATGGAGTTCTTGAAGTGGGCGCCTTGCCGCGGGGCGCTGGGCGTTTAGATTTCATTGGAGCTGCGAAATCCAGGCTCTCGCGCGGTCTGAGGATGGAACTCTCCAGAAAGGACTCTGCCGCTATGGCCTGGTCGAGGGTGATGATGGCACCTCTCCGACAAGGGAGTTGCAGAAAGCGCTAAGCTGGGACCTGGGACTTTGACATATCTGCCCGAAGCAGAAATAGCAACTCGCCACATGAGGCCGACTTTGGTCTGCAATTTCTTTGGAAGAACCCCTAACTTGCCTTTGGAAGAACCCCTAACTTGCCGTCTGAGAAAACGGGAGCACTCAACCAAAGACCTCCGACCTGTGTGCCTTCCCGCATCGCCCTCTTCTGCATTTTTGTTGGGGCCGAGCCCTTAATTAGGCCCAAGAGAACACTCTAAAAGGCCCTACACTTTTGGAATCGACTCAGAGAAGGATAACAATGCTATTGTAATGAGGGTGCTTGAGCAGATGAAGAGGAGGTCCTCATAAGTTTTCACCTCCGCCGGTGCAGGAATAGCTAGCATCATCAGCCAACTTCTACCTACCAGGTGCTGTGCAGCAGGTATGGAATCATCGAGGAGCCTTGATCTCACTAAGGCTTTGAGGCTCGTTTTTGAAGCCCCGGTCCTTCGTTGGCTCCGGAGATCTTCATCTGCACCGCTGCGGCGCCGGCCTGGCGCGAGTTGACTGGGAGTGTTGGATTCATGCTGAGGGGCCGCGCTTCCCCGATCTGACTCACCCAGACTAATCGTGGTAACGGAGCCTTGGCCGCACGGTAGGAGGTGGCCACAACCAAGGCGATCTGCTGCCCCACAGTCATGATGTTCCTTTCTTTGGCTCAAGTGCTCCGAAACCTCAACCACCAGAACACCTGCAAAGACCAAGCCAGCAGCGGCCTCGGTGGGGCCTGAAAGCCTGAGAGGTCTGCCTTTTGGAGCCATACTTTGCTGGAGTCGACTACCCAATCATTCAACATCCCAAAGCAACCCGAAATCCTACCAAAGTTGCAAACTCTGCACCCCTCAAACCAAACCTGAAGCCTCATCCCTGATGGCCCAAATGCCCGCAAGCCCGAAACAGGCTGGGACGATGCAGCTCAGCTTCCCGCCGATCTCCACCTGAGAACATCTCCAGGGTTTTGTCGATGCCGATGGCTGTGGTTGTACTTCTTACACACGAGCGACACCCGCAACACTTGTGACCTTCGTTATCACCAACACCAGCCGCCAGCGTCGCCGTCACCAGCACCAGTAGGGGAGATTGATTGCGATAACAGCGTCAGTCGCCCTCGAAGTAATAAAACGATCAAAGGACATGTAAGTACTTATGGCATTGCCTCTGGCAGGTTGAAGCCTGAAGGCTTGTGGCTTGATGTTCATTCCGGGATCACCCTTTGCCTTAGACTACAAAACCTCACCATCAGCACAAGCTCAAGAGAAATCCTTGAGACAACACACAATAACGAAGCAAACACCAATACTGCTCGCGCTGTCGTTTTCTGGTGTCCCTGCGCCCAAAAACAGAAGACCTGCACTCGCACAGCACCCGAAGGTCCACGGGTTGTGGCAAATTAAATTGTCACTACTTGTACCTAGAACCCTAGGTATCGGCTACTTAACCCGGACCTTCTAGACCTCACCGAAGCCCTCACTACGTAAGCTATGGCTTTTCTTCTTCCCGGCCCCTTTGCAAGCCCTTAGATCTGCGCTCTGAGGTTCAGGCGAAGACGGGCTCCTCCCCTGCAAGGGTGAGTGCCGCGGCATAAAGTTCAGGGATGGATTCAAGGCTTTTGCGCTGTCGTGGCGCAATGGGCCGTCTAGGGTATTTGGGAGTTGCCTGCGCGCAACGGGGTTTGAGCTGGTTACTTGGCGCTTCTTGGGCAAGCAACAAGTGCTTCTTCATTTGCCTATCACAACCTCAAGTATGGTACTTCGACCCCATGGTTCGTCCCCGCTTGCAACTGCCCCTGAATCCGAATCTACAGATCAACAACAAGTTTAACATAAAATACACAAGCGATATAAGAACCTCAATAAGAACAAGAGACGCCGCCGCCGCCGCCACCACCACCACCACCACCAGCAGCAGCAGCAGCAGCGCAGCACCACCACCACTGCCGCTGCCACCACCACCACCGCCGCCACCACCACCAGCACCACCACCACCACCACCACAACCACAACCACAACTACCACCAACGCCAGCACCGCAACCACCACCACCACCGCCGCCGCCGCCGCTACCACCACCGCCGCCGCCCCCACCACCACCACCACCACCACCACGACGACGACGACGACGACCACAACAACCACAAGCATATAGATCCAATATAAAGCTACTCTTTGCTACCCAGGTGCCTTCAAGTACAAGCGCTTCGGCGGTAAAGTTCAGTGCGAGCTCCGGAGCTCGTGACTTGGGTTAAGGGGCTAAGGGGGGTTAGGATTAGGACCGGAATCAGAGGCCAGCCTAACCGTCCCTCGCGCAACGGGATCTATTCGAAAGCTGATTTCTTGGGAGATACAATCATAGAACCATGAGGAATCGGCTCTGGTGCCAAGGGTTAAGAGTTGCTTGAGTCGGTTTCATCATATTCAATATCATCGTCCCAGCCCTGCAGCTTACACTGCAAACCCGAGATGACGTGGCCTGCAGCGAAGCCACAATCGTTCTTCCCTGGCACGTCCTGGACATCTTGGGTTACCAGGTGTCAGGTCCTGCGTAAAGGATACGAGACCAAGCAACTAGTAATTGTGTCGCTCATACAGTAAGAGTACTCGCAAAGTCCCTGATCTTCGGAACCCTCAAACTGTACGGCTTTAGTGATACACACAGGAATAGAAAATGGACTAAATTAGCAGAGCAAGAACCATCACAACACCAACCACAGTCATAGCAGCGCCAGTCGAATTACTGTAGAAAGACTCCTTGTATACCGCAAGCAACCGCAAAAACTGCAAGTCCTTGGTTGCCTAATTTCATCGTTGAAGCTCTGTGCTGGACAAGGCCAAGGATCCGCTGCTGTCACGATGTCCACCACACCGACCACTTTGAAGGCTTGAGCCGTGTCCTTGAGGATTTAGGGCTGAGGGTTCGGGGCCCATTCAAGTTGTGATGAGCAGAGTGCAGCTGTGGATCCAACTGCTCCAGCTTGCCCGTCGCCACCTCGCTTAATACCTGGGCCGCAAGATTGGGAAATGCGAGGAGGAACTGCTACAGGCTCAAGCACCGTTTGGGCGGAATCCCCTCCCTGCTTGCTGTGATCTGCGAACACTCCTCTCGTGCCAAGAGCTCCAAGCCCGTGTGTGACACCAAGACGCAGGATACCCGAAGAGACCGGGCATCGGCTGGTCGTCCGTGTATCGGACCTTGTCTGAAGTGATGCTCAGTCCGTAGCCCAGGCACGAGACCTATGCAACACAAAGCTGTGCAACCCTATGGAGAACTTGGGAGCAGCACACGGCAAAACTTCACGTGTTGGTACATATGCATGTGCAAAATATAGGGTGATGAGTTTTCACGCGCACTTTATCAGACATGAGACTGCCGCGCGCAAATCAAAAAATTATTAGCCATATGCGTGACGTTCTCATGCGCGAAAGCTGGCCATTATCAGGGACAGCCATCTGCTCTATCGGACGCGTGCGTCGGCCAAGGCAACTCGAAGATACCGAGAACTCAAACAACGCCTGTTGCATTTCCTTAGCCAGTCCTGTCCTCGGTTGATTCTGCCACAAGGGCTCTGACCCCCCGCCCCCACCCCCAAAGCACATAAGCTATGACCGCTGACTCTTTTAAATGCCCTAAAACTGCCAAGCATGAACCCTGAAACCTGAACCTTCAAAGGCCTAAATTGCTAAGCCTGTGAATCTGAAGCTTGCAGCAAAGAGTCAGCTCCGGTCGTGAGGCCCATTGCAGACAGCTGGGGTTTGTTATCCAGGCCAGGCTGCTCCTGATGCTCCGAGCTGATGGGCTCAGTCCGGGTGTAGGGTCTCTCAACTGCGTCTCTCCACGAGAACCCATGTGTAAAAGGTTGAGATGAGTTACTGGAGTTCAGAGCTTTCTCTAAGCTCCAGTAGCACTTAGGGATTAAGCAGCTTCCCGGCTTTGGGAAAAACAGGATTTAGGGCATAGTGCCTAGAGTCTAAGAGATTGTTCAAAGGCTTGGGGAGCACGGGGCAAAGTGCAAGTAGGCTTCGGGGATTCAAACTGAGCCTTTGGGGCCAGGAGGCTTTTGACGATTACTGCCGGCAGGGATACGGGCGCGATTAGGCTTCCAGGCTCATGGCTGTCTACAGACAAAACCTCTATACCCTGAGACCACTTCAAACTTAAACCCAGGCATCGACTGCATCCTTTAGCTGCGTGGGACTCCGGCCTGGAAGGTGAGCTGTCCTGGCAAACATCGGCTTTATAGCTTCTGCTTCTTGACTGGATGTGTAAGATTGCTTGGATTTGTTGCAGCTGATGAGCTGGGCTGGCGGCAAGGGGCTGGATCTTCTGTAGCAAGGACTTCAGTTGATGCGCTTCGAGTCTCAAGTTCAGGTGCGCCCAGTAGATGCAGAGGCCGAAGATTGCAGAATACACAGATGAATGAACAAGTCAGGCAAGTGATGGCAGCAGCGCACTCACTGCGTGCACGTTGCAACAGCCTACAGTGATCTTAGACCATAAAGATTGCAGCAAAGCATGAGCATCTACGCGACTATTCCGCATCAGCAGAGCAAACTTGGATGAGAGGAGTATGCTTAGCCCATGTTCGTCTCAAACTCTTCCAGCGCAGCGATCAAAACCTGAGGTCCTCAAACTTGGCAAGGCTCAAAACCTCAGCTCCTAAAGCCCTAGAAAGCCCCGACTTCCCCCAAGTCTCCTGCTTTCAACGGCTTCAGCGCCAGGCTTCCTAACTCTTCCGCCGGCCACTGCTTCATGCCAAAGAAAGCCTGTGCCTGGAGATGTTCGGAGTTCAGGTTTTTTGGTTGCTGGAGGACTTAGCATACCGTGTTTAGGAGCCAAGGTTGAGGACCCATATTGCTGCATGGCGAGGCCTCTTTGAAGAACTTGAAGATATAGGTGTCTGGCAGTTGACGGCGATAGTCATCCTGTGTATAGAGGAGCATTCCCTCACTGATGCTTCAGGGGTCGAGACAAACAGAAGGAGCGAGTATGACCGGGAGTGGTAGGCTCTACCACGCAGAAGACCCGCAGCCATGGACGCTCCTTTCCCTTCGGGTTGTCGATTGTCTGGAATTGGCTCTCCCCTGCAAATTCCAGCTCGGAATGCCTCAGACAATGCCCAAGACTTACGGGTTCGGTTTGGCTTAAAATGCTTGTAAGCGGATACGCACAGGGTTTTGGAAAGCCTTGGAGTTTTCAAGCAGACCTCCTTATGCTCGCATCGGGGGAAATAGGGACGGAAGGCAACCACGTCAAAGTTTTTTCAAACTAAATATCGAACGAATGCCTGCGGCACAATCCACTAGCTGTGGGCTCGTACTTCAATTGTACTGCATGGTCCATGATGCTCCTCTAAAGCCTCCACCAAGACGCAGGGCTGCAATGGCTTTCTGGAGGGTCTCCGTGTCCTGCACGGTCTTATCTTAGCATTGTGGTCATTCATTCTGGGAAGCTGAATACGATGCACAACTTACACCAGCACCACGAGGGCTACAAACAGTAATTAGAAAGTTTAGGCCTTGGCAACAACGAAAATGTCGAACAGCAGGCGGCCATTACGAACTGAGCTTCATTATTACTTCGATGCTGATTACAAAAGCTTCCCTTCAGGGTTCAGTGCTCAGGCATTGCAACGGCTCAGGAGCCACATAGCCCCACAAACTTCAACTGTCAAGTTCAGGAGCAAAACAGCAACATGGGCAGAAGCAGAAGCAACTTCGCCTGCTTCTTGTCATTGCTATTGGTCAACACGTAGTGAGTAAGCCACAACACAAGTAGCTTGACCCGTACTGACAACTCTACTGTTGACCTACGTAGGAAGTCCTGATCCTTTGAGTTCAGATAACATTCGATGTGCTCACATGCAGCCAGCAACCTGTTGCTGCAAGTAGTGTCGCCTCTGACTACAAACTGGCGGGGCGAGCTGTCTTCCACCACAGTCCAACTTACAGAGCCAAGCTTGCACGAAGCAATACATCATTACATTGCACTTCTCTTGTCGCACAGCCTTTCCCAACCGTAAAGGCCCAAAGAGAAACTAGCGGCAAAAGCTGCAGCACGTCAGCGGCGCTCAGTCCAGAGTCGCTCCGACCAGGACCGACTCGGCCTGGTAGGAACCTCGCAAAAAGCGGGCCGTTTGGGACCCTTAGGGCGTTAGGGCGGTTCAGGGGTTCAGGGTCCAACACTGCAGTCATACCGAGTCATACCACGCAAAGATACAGCCACGAGTACGGGGCTTTAGATAGATAGGAAAATCTTTTCACCGCAGAAATCAGGATGGAAGCTTCACGAAGCTTGGTCGACGTCATTCAAGGCAAACAATAATAGATTCTGGAGTGCATGGCTTTCGGTCAGCATGCAGCGAAAGATCATTTAAATAGGCCGGATGGGTTTCTGAGTCTGGGGTTGAAGTCCGCACGCTCGGGGCTGACGGGCTCGGAACGAGTTACTATTATAGCAACCTTAGCAGCTGACAAAACGGTGGAGATAGACTCCGAAAACAAACGAGACAAGAAATGGCAAACGAGAAGTACTGAGCCTTCTGTACCGATCCTGGCCCCCTCGTGTCCACATCCACAAATGTTGAAACTCACCAGCTGCAGACATGAACAAGTGCAGCACATGCTGAAACCAAGGGCCATACGAGAAGGCGTGGAAGCCCAGTAACCTTGGTTAGGGAAAACATGGATTTCTCACCCGCAACAGCAACCACGCAGGAGCCGTCTTCGTCGTCGTAGTGGGAGTAAGACTGAGGGCAGCAGTAAGAGTAGGAGTAAGAGCAAGAGCATGAGCATGAGTAAGGGTATGAGCTAGCGTAAGACCCAGGCTAGACTAGGACTAAGAGCAAGACTACAAGAGTAAGACTAAGACTAAGAGTATAGTGAATAGCGCCAGTGCTGGTTGGTCCACATTGCAACTGCTTTACCTCCAACAGGTAGGCTATACGCGCCTTGACCTTGCGCCCGGGCCACTAGCTGGGCCTTGGCATATCTTGGCACGCGCTGGTGTGCATCCAGTGGCGGCGCCAAACTGGCTTTACATAATGTCGCGCTGGTGCAACAGAAGGCAGGCTCCGGGAAAGGAGCCTAACCGTTCGCTCTCACATCTCCCATGCCCAGGACTGCCGACCGACAAGTCCCTGGAAGCCCAGCGGCACCATCACCACTATCATCAGCAGCACCCAAAGAATCAAAACCACTGTCGCCATCTTCAACACCATTACCTTTATTTTTTATCGTCATTGCGGTTGCTGCTGCTGTTGAGAAGGCGTGTGCGCATTCCAGAAACGTAAACCCCCAGCATGCAAGCTGCAAACGAAAAGCCTAAAGGCTAGACCCCGCCCACGCAGTGCCCTGCAAGCAGGGCATCAGCTCCTTAGCTTCACGCCGAGAAGCCCAAGCAGACCTGATTGCATTCTTGAGGGAATTAGAATGCAAGGGCGAAAGTTTGTGGCGGGTCTGTAGATTGCGGTAGCTTGGGAATGTGATGGATTCAGGTCGAGCATTGCTCGGTAGTTCCCTATCTTGGTCGTATTTGGTCGTCTTAGTATGGCTTGCCTGTTTTCTTCCCACTCGTATAGCTGGCTTCTGCTGCTCCATGTCAGTGCAGATGAGATTAGTCACTACCCCTCCTCAAATACCCCGGCAATCTGTGACATCTTCATTCATTCATGCACTATGGCCAGAGTGCATTCCAATCTACCCTACCTTTGGCAAGAGTGCATTTTTGGCATGTTGGCTCTAGGGTCCATGGACCTCATGTATGTCGCCAGCAGAGTGTGCAAACTTTTGAGGAAGCGTGTGAGTAGGTTGGCTGAATAGCGGGGCATGTTTTTGCGCACCGTCAGGCTTTATGTCAGTGAACAGATCTATTGATCCACAGCACCCAGCTGCAACTCGTGAAACTAACCTGCTAATGACTGGCAGCAGGAATTTGTCGAAGTCTGAGAGCTCGACGCGAGCTTCGGTGATCTTCTTCGCGCTGTCTAAGACAACACGGAAGCCTCCCGGCTTTGGTTCTAAACTCTCAAACAAGCTTGGGGCCGATAGTTAGATGCAACACACGAAACAATGACATGAGCCAAGTAGTAGTCATGCAGTCTTTGACACAAAGCCCTTGCTTTGGACTCAGCTCCATGTGACTATCTAAGAGTCTTGTCGACAACGATAAATGTCTGCAAGTACTTGACACCAACTCCCAGAGTAGTTTACAATGCGGACAACAAGGCCGAGGTATCTAGGCTAGCCCCGGCTAGCCATTCCCGCAGTCCCTGCCTCCACTCGCGAAACAGTGCGACAACCATTTGCGCTGCCCCACTCGGAAGTACCTGAAGTTTGGTCCCTTTCCAGATACCGACTCCACTTGTAATGACCATCCTCATCTGGCTTTGGAGGGGAGCTCTAGGTTTGCGGCATGAGGGGCCCAGAAACTAACAGATCCCACAATGAGGCTCCTACAAAAGAACCGGCACAGAACCAATCTTTCCTAAGGCTCAACCTGAACATTCTTAGAACATAAACAACAAGTCCCAAACTGTCCACGGTGCTTGTAGAAGGAGCTTTGCAGATTCGGGATGTGAAGTTTTGTCAGCCTCGGAATTTGCGTTTTCGGATTTCGGAATTCAGGGCTTAAAGCTGCAGGGTTTAGAGGATGTGCTTTATGCCAGAAGGCTTCAGGACTTTACCATCTAGAGTCTAGAGCAACAAGAATGTAAGGTTTAGTGTGCAGGGCTTCAGCTTGCGATAATCCGATCCAGTGCAGCCGTGAAGCAAAGCGTTGAAAGGAACAGCCTCGGCTGCATTCTCGAGCCAGTTTACGCTTCAAGAAAGAAGTTCCATGCTTAGGATATAGATTTATGTTTGGGTTTGCATCTCGTAGGGTTCGTTTAGCAGATGGTGTCTTATGCAGGCATGTCCGACTCATCAAGAGTTGATGGCACCTGGCTGCTTTGGCGGCTCGCTGAACCAGCTCAAACTTTTCACAGCCCGACAAATCAGGATCACATGTCCTGAAAACTCACGAGACATCTTTGCCTGAAGACGCTTGTGTAACAGATCTTGGACCCCCGACAGCCTAAACCCTCACGTCCTAAGCACCGCCTCGCACCGCCTAAATTCCAGGCTGTAGATTCGCTACACCATAGCCTCTGAACTTGCGCGGCATGTACGGGTTTTTTTGAAACCCGAGGAGTCGTAGAGACCATTGCTGGCAAAGGCTCGCCCGGTTTAAACTCTGCGAGTGGTATTCGGGTCTCCTCGGTGCTCTTGGTCACGTAGGACACTTCCGCGTCAGCTGCACAAGATGTGTGGGCTGATTGGCCGATGGGGAGTGGCTCCGAGCAAGTCTTCCCTGAAAGAGTACATGGAGCAATGAAAGGTGTTCGGATTTACGGATTTGGGCTGAAAGCACTTGATGGTGTCGAAGATTTGGAGCGCCCAGACACCACGAAACATGCAGCTTGGGCTCGATAAGTTACCTCAAACCCGCCACTGGTCCTAACTGACTCCTAGTAGGCACCGTCACAACACCTGCAGGGCTAAGTTCATCAAACCCTGAATCTGCAAGGCTGGAATAAGTGACGAAGCCGCAGAAGCTCAAACAGTACAAAACTCAATCCCTGAATCCCCCAAACCATACTGAAGCCAAGCCGTTTAACTCACAAAGCCCGAGAGCCTACAGTAAACGCTCAAACTCCGAACCCAGCCCACGCCTTTGAATCCCGAGCACCACAAGGCGGATGCCTAGACCCTTGACCTTCTGAAACCCCTCAAACCAGAAAGATCGTGCATCCCAGCCTGCGAGCAGAGCGGGGAAAAGGTCGGAAGGAAATCCACGCCTTGGGTCCAACGCCCAGGTTTCTGGGTGCAGGGCGTGCAGGTTTAGGGGTATGGCATTGCGGTTTGAAGGGGTTGGGGGTTCAGGGTTGATGGTGCTCAAGGTTTTCGAGTTATGGGTGCTGAGCTAGGGGCTTTAAAGCGACAATTTCAATCTGCGCTGTTGCCCTCCCTCGGATGTGCTACCCGGGGCCTCAGGTAGTTTGATAAACACTGTACCCCATACAGCCTATACATGCCCATCTAGTCCTGATCCTCCAGTTCGGCCTCGAGGGCGTTTCGAGGAATGGAGATGACCCTTAGGCCTTGTTGACTTTCCTGATGGGCCGCTACTGGGCCTACGGTACCATGTAATCAAGCTGCTACAGTTACAGGAGTGCTGCAGGCTGTCACTGTTTCGAGTATACGAGTAGGGCTTTGTGCTCAAGATTGCGATCGGCAACCGCACGATTAAGCAGCAAGCCGTCACGAACCCCAAGCGCTTCGACCCGAAACGCTCAAAGCCGTGGAAACTGAAACGCCAAGTCAAGAGAAGCCCTGCAGATCTTGGGCAAGGCACTGGATGGTGATGAGCAGATTCCCTGCCCAACCTTTGAAATGCCGGAGGATGTGTTAGACTCGGTCTCAGGTCTAGCATCGGGGGCCTTGTTTAGGGTTGCAGTGATGAGGTGACCTCAAGTCAAAAGCCTTTCTACAAGGCAACATGCTAAGATTCGGACACAGTGACCTTTCAAAGCCTTCACCCTACCATGAGGATTGCCGCAACTCCGGTGAATAGTGAACCAGTATGGACTAGTAGGTGGTTTCTTCCAAAAACTGCTCAGGATCAGATCGGGGCCTTCGGATCTTCATTGGGGCCGAGTTCGACCAACAGACAGTCTCGACCCCGAAACCCCGAAACTCCAAGCAAAGCAAAACCGCAATGTCGCACCTGCTTCCGAGCGCAGGTGATGCTGTGCCACGTGCTTCACTGCGTCGGCCAGAGCCTGCTACGCTGACGTTGCAGCTTTGGGGAGGCATCGCAGATTTCGGACGGATCCCGAGACCCTGGTTTAGTAGTTGCGCCTTGACGCTTTGGGAAAAGAAATGAAGTGGAATTGACAACGCCGTAACAACAGCAAGTTGTACTACACTCCATCAACAACGAGTTCTGATGTCGGACGAAAGTGCGCAGCTTGGCACGAAGAACCGCCAACATGTTGATGCTGCTTTGACAAGCCCATACTCATGCAACCAGCAACCTCAAGAAGAAACCTGAAGAGCAACCCCGCAACTTCACACACCCCACTCAAACCCGAAGACCCTGCATAGGCTGAAGTTTGAGGCAACGATCTGGCAAGGGCACAAGGAGTCTGGGCCGTACCAAACTTCGTTGGATAGCTTCAAACTAGAAGTCTCGCATTGTTGATCTTGATTGGCTCAGGTTGTTTGCAGAACTCCCAGCTCGAAAATGCCGAGGTGCTTCGGGCCACTGCAGGCTGGCATGCTCCTTCTGGTACTTCTCCAGGGCATCCGTGATGTGCTGAATAGTGAGTGCGCCGCCGATTGTCAAGCCTGAACCCGAAAACTCTTGGCCCTGGTCGACCTTCACCTAAACCTACCAATGCGACTCAAGATCTGGTTTGTTGGTTAAACAATATCTCCGAGCTGGCAGCGCCAAGATAGACAGATCGGTAGACCGACAGATAGGTAGGTACGTACATATGTAGATAGACAGATCGGTAGGTAGAGAGAAAGATAGATACATAGGTAGATAGACAGATAGACTAGATAGATAGATAGATAGATAGATAGATAGAGAGATAGAGAGATAGAAAGATAGAGAGATAGAGAGCTAGAGAGCTAGAGAGATAGATAGATACATAGATAGACAGACACACAAGTAGATAGATAAGGAGAGAGGTGTCTATGCGTGTATGTGTGACTGCGAGTAGGCAAGAAAGCGGTGTCTCTGAACAGTAATCAGTTGTCGGGTTTGTGATCGGAAATTTGTGGATCCAGTATCGGCAAGGAGGAGAGCCCACGTAGAGCGAGTGTACTCCGATTGCACGTTCAACACCTTTAGCGCCCTTGCATACAAGGGCAGCCCTCGCGCGTATCCGTGCAACCGCAGGTCTGCTCGTCTGGCTTTGGCATGTGAACTGCTATTCGCACCACCAAGGCGCAAGGCTGCTGCTGCTGCTACCACTACCACTGCCGCTATCACTCGAACAAGGCTGTAGACCCAAACTGCCCCTCCTGCGCCGCTCGCTTGAAGCATATTCAGCTCGGTGACCTGAGAGAAATGACCAAAGCTCCACAATTCTGCGAAAAGCGAGTCCACAGAAGGGGAGGATAGTAACCGTGACCACAAATCTAGCCACCGAAGTTCTAGCGGCCTCAGCCCACCAAACCCCGAAATGTACGACATCACCATTTACAAGTAGCACTCTCACTGGCCAGAGCAGCATTGCGAAGCGCGATCACGTCGGTAGCTCTTCCGTTGGCCACCTTCAGATGGGCAAAAGGGCACTGGGCGAGGGAGGGAGAGCGGAACGACGAAAGCTTGTGTCAGCTTACACCGTTTAAGCCTCGTGGGGAAGTCCCTCAACTGAAACTGGAGCCTCGTAGGCCGCTTGCCGGATGCCCTTCGCTGTGTCACCGACTATATACATCGCGCGTGGCTTGGACTGCTTGATTTCGAGCACCTCCTGGTTGCGGGGCAGAATCATTATCGTGCAGCAGCAGCAGCAGCAGCAGCAGCAGCAGCAGCCGCGCCGGCGGCAGCAGCAGCAGCAGCAGAACTGGCTGCAGTGTCAGCACCATCAGTCACAATCACCATCAGCAGATCGCCTACAACAGCCGCAGCAGAAATCACAGCCACAACAACAGCGGCAGCACCACCAATTGCATCATTTTCGTCAATGCCTCGATCGTCACGTCACCCAGTTCATCCACACGACTACTACCATCCTCGAGTCAGGATCATCTTCACCACCAGCAACGACATCGCCATCGTTATCATCAATCTACAGTCAGCATGGCATCAGCATTGACATCGTCGTCGCCATCATCGCATCATCAACAGCAGCAGCATCAAGTAAATCATCATGACCAGCACCCCGGCCATCCCGGCAGGCAACACCACCAAGATTGATGTCATCACCACTGAAACATCGATGATCATAGTTTTTGTCCTCGGTAACATCCAGAATAGCATCCCGAAATTGAGGAGATGGGTAGCTGAGGTAAATAATGGAACGTAAAGAATGCACGGTAGTGCTGCTATGCTGGCCACATTTGGTATGTGCCATCTATGTCAGGACCGTGAAGTACGCAAGCGTCCTGAAGCGTCATGGGCGCATACCAAGTGAACTCATCCTTGCTGAACTGCACCTCGGATAGCGGCGTGAGGTAAGCTGGGACCCTCAGCCCCAAGCCCAGGTTTGCTCCAGGAACCTGTGCATTCGGTCGGGTTACTACCTGCGCCGCACTTGCTGCGCCGCACGTGCAGCTTGGCTGAAGCTCCGCAAAGCCCTCCAGAACTTGCAATGGAAACTGTCCGAGCATTGCGAGACGCGGGGCCGACTTCAAGATGCGGTCCATGTCCTTGTGCTCTGCTCCTCAGATTGCAAACTACGGACCCCAATTTTGCACGCTCAACTCCTTGAGACCAGGGCAAGCGGGGGCTCTGGATGCGAAAACCATAAAGTCAACAACCTAGCTTCAGCAGTTAAGGCTTGTCCAATGTTCACAGTTCGCTTCGTACTTACTGCATCAAATATGTGATGCAGACAAGACATCCACGGGCATTCGACACTGACACCGGCAAAGACCGTTCAAGCGGAGCAAGTGCACGTGCAGTTCCATCATTCCTTCAACTGATATCTACGTCGCATACTTCCGCAATCGGGGAGCAAGCCAGATGTGGATTTGTTAGGCAGAAGCACTTCGATTCTAACTCCACCCATTAGCGGTGATGAACACAGGAGGAGCTGTGGAAAGGTTATTTCCACTCCGGGCTGACGAAAGCCATGAAGATCACGATGGTACCGACCGCTTTTGCTTGCTGTGCTCGTTTGTGACAAAAGCTTACCTTTTGATTTACTCGATCCAACCAGGATGACATTGACCGGCGCACTCGAATAACAATCGTGGTCTGCCGTGAGTTTCGCTCTTGGATTTGCCGCAAGATTCCGCTGAGCTTGTCACAGAGATCGGCATCGTGCTGTCCACACCTGGATGCATGACTCAAATGCGAAGTCAGCACGCTGGCCTAAGCCTTGCACGGACTACTTAAACCACAGACCATCGGAAGATGGTCGGCATCAGGCAGTATCAATGCAAATGCGTATGAAGGCTCTAATGCGTGATTTCAAGATGTCTGCGCTCCTAGTACACTCAAAAACTTGATCCCACATGTTCCAAAGCTTTCTGCTCCCTTGAACAATGCCACAACTCGACGAAACCCTGAGCCTGCGTTCACCGAGGGAACACTGGAGCGATAGGTGTCTCTATACCGCAACCTGCTGTTGCTGTGCTGGGCCCCTCTCATCCGAAATCTTGCTTTAGCATCCGGGTCCGAGTCCATGGATCCAAGAGGCTCCACATGCCCGGCTTACTCCAAAATACGGGCTCCTTTCTGCGAGAAGAAGTACCCGCAAAAGGGACCCTCATGCAGAACAAGCACAGGCTTTTCATGCTGCAAATGACGAAGAAACACGAAGACTAGCAGAAGTCCGGAGCCTGTTTCCCAGCGCTTCCGCTTCTGGAGACGCATCGGAAGCGAAGGATTCAGAAGCCTGCCACATGCAGCATCAGCATTCTGTACTACACGCGCAAGTTGCGTATAATCTGAAATAGCAACGAAGCAGGAATTGGATCAGCTCAAGCGAACACCTTGGCTCTGGTTGGGAGTGGGAACACCATCTCGCTGGGAGTGGGAAAACCAAAACAGACCATGCGTTCATCAAGCGATTCTCTGAAGCCCCAAATTGGCCTGCACGAGGTTCCTGTAGCCCGTGCACCGACAGATGTTGCCATCGTAGCTTTGCATCGACTCTTCCGCTGTGGGCTTGCCACCAGCCCGGAGAAGCGCGTAAGTATTCATGACCTGGGGATTCGAGAGATTCCTAAGGATCCTCTCTCCTGTCTACGGAGACGCAAAGCAAATATGTGATTCGAGATGATGCACGAACTACAAACGAAAAACACTGCACACAAGCGCCAAGACATGCTGGCGCTGTTAGTGCTGGTGATGCGCATAATACCCGATGATCATCATGGCAACGAAGGGGGCAGCAATCATGAAACATGATCATCACGAACACGTCGAAGCAACGTGAAAACGCCGTGCAATGGAAGACCGCCATGCTACTGCTACCGCTAGGACTACTACTTCTTCTACTACTCCTACTCCTACTCCTACTCCTACTCCTACTCCTCATCCTCCTACTACTACTACTACTACTACTACTACTACTGCTACTACTACTGCTACTACTACGACTACTACTACGACGACGACTACTACCACTACTCCCCCTGCACCAGTACTAGTACTACCACCACTACTACTACTACTACTACTACTACTACTACTACTAACACCACTACTACTACTACTACTACTACTACTACTACTACTACTACTACTACTACTTTTACTTCTGCTACTACTACTACTACTACTACTACTCCTACTACTACTATTCCTACTACTAT